GGCAATGCGTTCTGCTTGAAGATCTGCGACCCCAAGGGCTCGAACCCTGCCGGCTACTGCCAGCACATCTATGATCGTATCGGCTGCTCGTACAATGCTCCTTCGTCGAACCAGGCCGGTACCTTTGAAAAGTGCGACTCCGATAGCATGGAGCTTCCGGGTCAATACGTGTCCAACGGCCAGACGGTGACCTACTACCAGCCCCCCGAGTCTCTCGGGCCCATCACCACTGTGCCGTACACGGTCTCGATCCCAAAGAGCTCCAACTGCGTCCAGTACCAATCTACCGATCTGTATGCGGCTGCCGTAAGTACTTGATCTGTCAAACAACCGAGGACGTGTGCTCATGTATCTTATCACATAGTCCACTTCGGCCGCTTCGAGCTCGGCTGCTACTGCCACTGGTACCGCTGCGCACTCGGGTAGCGCTTCCCACTCGGGTTCTGCCTCGGCTTCGCGCACCAACGGTGCATCGAGCACTGCCAGCTCCAACGCCTCGATGCGCAACGTTCAACAGGGCGCTGCTGTCCCGGCCATGCTGCTCGCTGGTCTCGTCGGATTCGGAGGTCTCTTGGGTGCGGTGGCCGTCCTCTAAAATTTCGTCCACATTTCACGACACGATAGCTACACATTTTTCGCGGGTTTTGATTATATCGCATCTCTTTGTTTAGTATTTCTCTCTCTCACACGGACCATTTTCCTCTTTGTCTCTCGAGTTGCAGACGTTGTGCATGGTCATCGTTTTTTTAGATGCTGGACTTGACGATTTGTGCTCTAGTGATATACACTCATTTGGCCTATACCTCTCTATCTATTTCATGGATTGCTGGATAATATGCTGGTGTGATCTACGTTGCGAGATGTGCGTGTGTCCCTGCAGGTTAATTTTTCGGGGGTACACGAGGCGTGACGTGTGCGACCTTGTAGAATTTCGTCAACATGACAGCCCTCGGCGCCGGCAATCAAACACGCTAAGCAACACGTAGTATTTATAGAATTTGCCAACCAATAATCGCGATCACGTGTAACTGTGTTGTTCACTTATCTGTTCATTTGAAAGGTCCGAAATGACCGAAGGTCGCATATACGCTACTCGTTCCCTACTCCGGCCACATCGTCGTCCGTCCCATCTGCTCCGTCGGTCTCGGCTCGTTGAAGGAGTTGGACGACTTCTTGTTGAGCTATAGATGAAGTAACCTCGTCGTCTGGGTTCGAGTCGGGATTCCAAGGGAATGGAGAGCCTTTCCATCCGCCCGAGTGATAGATGTAGTATAGGAATCGACGCCAGAGACGGTCCAGCCCTAGAACCATTGGATCGCCGATTATAATCAACAGTGCTTGGGCGCGGGTGATGGCGACTGTTATCAACAATGTGAGCGTATCGCGGTGTTTTGAAAGGGCGTTGCACTCACCGTTCAGCCTGCGCCTGTTTGCGACAAACCCGAGAGTATGTTTGACGTCGAACGATAAGAAGTCTTGGTTGCTTCGGACTGTGGACAGGATTATCACTTGGCGTTCCTATGGTTCTGTGAGAACGAGAAGCTGTGGCAGAGTATATGCGTTACTTGCCTGGCCTTGGAAAATTTCGACGCTCCCGATGTCGATATCGGTGATATTGATTTCTCGTAAGAGTTGTCGGATCTTGCGTACTTGAGCGCGGTAGGGCGTAACGATTCCGATTTGCCTTGTCGTTGCTATGCTTAGAGTTAGTGAATTGTTGCAGAAACATCGTAGTATGTCATACCCATGAGCGGCAGGAGCCCTTGCACGTATTCCTTGACTAGTGAAGCCTCATGAGGGTTGAAAAACGACGGAGAGGTCGATTCTCGCATGTCTTCCCCTGTTATGGAGAATAAATCAGCGCCGAGTGGTACGAATGGCGTCATCAGTGGCATGTACCAGCAATAGCTTCAAAGACGACCGGAAAGTTTTGAGTCCCAAGTCGATTCCAATTGAGAAAGACGTCTGTGATATTTGCGGGTGCCCGAGGCACTAGTTCGTTTCCGTAAAATTGTTCGTTGGGGAACGAGAGGATCGACGGGTGGCTCCGGAAGTTCTTCAATAGCTTGGCTACTCTATAAAACAAGATTTGCATTAGTATATAGGCTAAACTAGATGACAGTGAACGTACGAGATTCCTCGCATTGTAACTTCGTCGTACACGGGTAGTGACATGAGTCGCTCCAAATAACTTGTGCTCATTCCAAGTCGGCGAGCGACCGGCGAGCGAATGACTGGACCCAACTGCTTGGGCTGAAGGGAAGCGGGTCTTGAGTCAAAGAACAGTCAATTATAACAGTCAAACTGCGAACTTACATCGCCACTCAGGATGACATTCGTATCGCGACTCGAAAGATTCAAAATCGGGATCATGACTTCTGGTTCACTAGCTTGCCCGGCCTCGTCAATAAAAATGTGGGTGAAATGGCCCGGATTGATCCCCCGAGCGTAAGCAAGCGCAGCCGACGAACAAGTGCATACGACCACTCGGAATGAACGCAATTTATCTAGAGCCGGGACTTCGAAGCCACGAGTGTTGTGGTGGAGCGAGTATTCTACGAGATCTTCGGGTAACTCGATACGAGGGCGCCAAATAGCGTTCAGTCGAAAAAGCTCTGCGGGAGTAAGATCACGAGTGTTTATCAAGCGTTCAGCGATGAGATCGGTTGCAGAATTGCTTGGAGCGCAGGCCAGGATTCGAGAAGATGGTTTATCGAGAAGTTGCGCGATGCATTCGACAATTGTCATTGTTTTGCCAGTGCCAGGTCTATTGTATCATATTCGAGTCGATTGCATTTGTTAAAGCGAAGAGAAAACTCACGGGCCGAATATTATAAACGGAGAACTACCAGATGGGAGGCTAGTAACACGCTTGACAGCTTGCAGTTGCTCCTCGTTCGTATTGACCAGATGGTTATAAATGTTATGTATCGGATCAACCTCGTCCCCTAGCGCATCCCCCAGGTTCAAGTTCTCTGCGGCTGGAAGTATAATATCGATACGAGGCGAAGGGGTTTTGACTGCCTGGAGCATTCGCCGGAAAGGCACCGGATTAAGGAGAAATTCGACGTCATATAGAGCCCTGGCATTATGGGGGAATGACGGATGGAAGGAAATCCGAACTGCCAATTGCAAGACTTCGTGGACTATCCCTTTAAACCAAACACCTTCCTCTCGATCATGGGGATGAATGTTGATTCTGTCCCCTTTGAGTACCGATGGTCTGTACGCGTAGTTAGCTAAGCCCTTTCTAGTTCATTATGCACACCTTTTCTCAGCTAATCCTGGGACCTCCAATCTAGATAATATTAAGCATTTTATATCGTTCGTTTATGGCCCTCACTCACTCGTATAAGCGACCTTGCTTGATTAAGCCGACGTCGTCCATGTCAAAGTTTCTCAGGTCGATTCTACAAAACGGGATGGCGAGGGTAGCATAAAGGGCTTGAACGACCCCCAACTCACTCTGCTTGAAGGTGTTCTGCGTGAACCAAGCTCGACCAGTATTGACTATACGATTGTTCGCCTAGTGTTCCTGGCATAAGCCTATCCCTAAACGCTTCGAGTTGTTGCTCTAAGGCACCCGTGCTTAGGGTCTGCCTGATACCTTCCGGTATATTGTAAGCTTCGAGTTTCCTCAAATACCGAACAGTTGGAGCAGTTTCCTCTCCGCCTTCAATAACCTGCAGTCTGGTGCCTCGTTGGCGGACTTGGGTGGGTCTTGTATATGGTGCGACAGGTGCTAGTGTTACGAGATCGTTATTCCCAACCGTTGCTTTGATTGGGCGCGTAATGACAAATAAACTGTTGTCGGGCTTTCTGAAGACTAGCTCAAGGCGATCTTCGAATCGTCCTCGTTGGCCGTGAGGATTAAAGTGAATCTGCACAGCAATACTACTACCTTGCCCGATAACTACAGGCAGGGTGATGGTAGACACTGTGAAACTGTTCATTGCGGGAAATAAATGAAATAATTGAAACACAGAGAAAAAGAAACACACCATAGTACTCGGCCTGGCAGAACACCCAAGGCTGATGAAGTTCTCGCTTGAACCAAAAATAGCCGAGCTGATCCTGTATAAGAAGCCCAAAGTATTACCGGATCACCAGTCGACTGGAAAGGCCGCAATCCAAAGTCTACCCCTTCCTCATCACCAGACAATTCAATACCATTTTGATTTCGTTGTGTCAAGGCGACCGCGTTCAGGTAATTGAAAACCAGTAGCCGGCTAGCATGTTCGCTCGATCGACAGTGCTGCTTATATCCTGATGATGGTATAACTGTATTGCATGCTTCGCATTTGGTTGTATTGGGGGCCCGGTTTTCTTGAATGACTGTCCCGGTGCCGGCCAATGGAGTTATTTTGGAGATATGTCCGCGAGACCTCTCATGACTGGTCTGCTCAGGACTGCCAGTTATGTAGTAACGTTTACATGGGATACAGTGCAACCATTGGGAATTCGCTTCGTTTTGCGTATGTGCTGGAGTCTGGACGTGCGCATTGTACTGAGCTGCTGATATGAATGCGATGTGACACGATGAACAAAAGTTGGAAGTATCATGAGAATTAGGGCATGGGCTCCTGACGCAATACCCTTGGTTGAGAAGAACAGGGCATATGGTGACCATTTGACCGCAAGCAAGAAGAACTGATCAAAGTGAAGCTTAGATCGATCCGAATAGCGATGTCGCCTCAGAGGGATAGTTAAATACGAGGTAGACTGGCAAGCGCGAACTTGACGTCGTCTTTGCGTAGAAGATTGTGGTTCGGTGGCGAAAGTTCCTGCTCGGTGACCAAAGTGGCAAGTCCACGTGTGCCGATAGCCACTAGTGTTGATCTTGTCACGTAAATCAACCGCGGGATCCTCGGAGAATCGTGTTCCCCCAGCGCTTACGAGTGGCTGGCTATATAGACCCAACAATAAATCATTTCATATTTATCTGTCCAGCTTACGGTTATGGGCAGACTCGGAACTCCAAAATAACATTAGTATACTAAGCCCAGCTAGCTCAATCGGTAGACCGTGAGACTTTTACGAAGATCTCCTGGCGAGTTTGCTATGCTACTATGGAACGCCATGTGCACGGTTCTGGTCATCTAAAGGCTGCGGGCTCGAGCCCCGCATGGGGCTTTAAAGCTTGGGAGCTAAATTTCTAGCTTATATTTCTCATCTTATTGACGCGGATTTGAGATCATTGGGATATAGGGTGTAATGCTGGTAAAGTGACAATGCGTCATAATATCTGCATCTGCATCTGCTAAGATATACATCACAGATATCTTCAGCTACGAGTACATCGGCATAGGTGCAAAAAGTCGTCAACGCTTTGCGCTCTGCTGTACTGGAGAGCTGGGATGTATGCGAAGTTCGTTGATGTCCGTTTAGTAGCACATTAATTCATTATTTGCCACCACTTCATATCCCAGCACCAATACCCGGCTGTTTGGGTCCCTGGTTACAATTTCGGAGACAAGTGCGTGAACCAATCTGTGGATCAGCTACTTAACCATTCTGGTATTCAATAGCCCGGGCTTCATTCCTTGGTCGATCTGGCAATCCGCTACGGTTACTGGTAGGCGGACGAGTACGCCTTTGCACAAAAGTTGTTTCAAGAGCTGAATCTTGGTTACACGGTTAATGGAGCAAGGCGTCTCATTCATACTAGTACACGGAACGATCAAAATTTAGTTTACAATATTGAAAAGAAACAGTCTCGGGGTTTGTACAACTATAGTACAAATAGATGTTCACTAACCTTAATAAACAATACAATGTCACAGATCATAATAGAACAAAAATATGGGGGCTACAAACGTCATCCTGGCAAACTGGCGTATCTATTCATGTTTGCCATCCGGTTATGGCTTCTGGAGCTAGATGTTGACGGCTTGACTCTGAGGCACTAGATCGGTGGATTTGTCGTGCTTCTGGACCAAAATGTCGCGTCTCTTTAATGTAGCGAGGATCATGAGGACCCAGTTGACCGTCGGATGTAAGCAATAAAATGGACGGGCGAATCCAGATAGTAAGCAGCACATTAATCAAGCCCATCAAGTAAAATGTGACGCTGAAAACCATGGATGGTGGGTTCATACGTGGATTGGAGAGCAACGAAGGGTTGGCGAAAGCAGCCCAGCGCATAATGGACAAGGGGAGGATGCAAAGAGTATAAGCCAAAGGATAGCTAATGGCGTAAGATTATCAGTTACTGAAACATTACAACGATGACTACCTTACTAGAGCATCTTGGAAGGCATATCGCTCGAGCGATCAAAGGCAAGCCTTCCGCTAGCGGGATCTGTATTCAAGGATTCCAAAAGGTGTTTCTTGTTTTTTCGAAGGATCAGATAGGAAGGGAAATAGAAGCAAATTGTCCCGAGTCCAGCAACCCAAAGCCTGAGTTTAAGGTCCATATTAGTATTTGGGAGATTAGTCGAATATCGAATTCGCACCATAGATATTCAGCGACTATACGGTCTTTCATATATCGCCCGTTAATCCAGCACCCTACATGCAGAAATCAGCAAAAGGCGAGGATAAATTTAGAAGTACGCCTACACCAAGGAGTTGGTGTGTAGTAAATTCGCGCTCCGCCACTGTCAGGCTCTTTCCCCGAGTGAACCGCCATGGGTATAAGCCCCCATAGAATCACCCAAAGCCACATCGCAGCAATAGCAGCTAGGCAATACCACGGCCGGTATTCTGGTCTTCGATTCGTATAAATCACGAAAAATGTGTAAACTGTGACCAGTATGGTCGCAAATGCAACGGCGGTTTCACCAATCGTCTGAATAGCCCCCTGGGCATTACACATGGGTCCACAGTACACTTGTCGACGATGAGCCCAATAGATATTGGGTACCGACCCAATCGACATCCATATGTCAGCAAATATCAAGTTAAGCTGTTCATAAGGATTAGAGACGGTAATGAGCTATTTCTAAACTGACAGCAAACCATTAGAATGTCTATGTTACCTCGGAACAAGCGCCAAGGCCCCGGAGGTGGCTTGATTATATTGCGCCGATAGTTGCGCTGCATAATCAAATAGTCAGTGACGCCATGCGCGAAGCGGAGTAAAATGATACAGACGAGAATGGTGCCGACGAGTAATAACAATGCAATGAGGGATACCAGACCAGCCTCGGCCTGAAACTGTTACGACCACCCTGTCAGTGTCTCAAAGTGTAGCAGATAACAAACAGACATACAGCAAGTCCCACAACTGCACTCGTATCCAAGCATACATTGCTCGGGTTCTCTTGCGCATCATTATAAAGTTTGTAGTTGACGGAACAATCAACAGGTCCAGACTGGCGTAGTGTACTATTAGACATCATGGGAGTGGATACAGTGTGTCTGTTGTGTCTCAGGTAATATATATGCCTCCTATCGATTCTGATGGCGAGAATCAAGCGCTCGTCAGTGATACACATTGGGTAGCAAACGTAAGTCAAATTGCTGTATGAAGCTGTTTGGAACGCTGGTAAGGCTATCCTTATCTCCCGTTTGTGCGGGCATTCTTCCTGGCAACCAAGGAGTGCATCTGATGCACCTTTGCTACGGAACCCAAGAGCCTAACACGTAGATCAACTTGTCTACTCGACAAATGAATCCCTAAATTTGCTTGGGCGAGGCGGTGTAAGGCGGTGCTTATCTCGGTCATTGAGTAAAAAAGCGCCGGGGTGCATACACCCAGAAGGCATTGTTGCCAGCGAATATATTTGCCACCACGAAAGTCACAGATTGTATGTAAAACCTTAAATATGTTATCCAGAGTACACGGAGGGTCCAGGGAAAGTGTAAGAAGTCGGCGGAGGGTTATAGCTATGCATATACTTGAGCTCGACAGGACGACTGCGGTCAGATGAAAAGCCACCCACATGTTAATAGTGATACCAGGGTCAGAGCCTTTGTACGCCCCGGGGAAGGATACCTCCGTGGGGCTCGCCGATCCACTGCCTGTAACGTTGATCTGAACGCACGACCTAGGGGCCGAGAGATGTCAGCGGCTACATAAGGTTCAGTGCTTTGCAACGTACATGTAGAATTGAGCGCCAGGATATGTGCTTGCCACATGCAGACCAATGGTTTCACCTCGAAGGAGATAAGCTCCAGGAGCGATGTTCGATGGAATCTTGAATGTGTATTTTCCATCAGACTTGGGAGACGACCACGTCGAACCGCTGATCAGTCCCTCTTGGGAGATCTGAAAATAAAATCGTGTGAGTGGGATTCCGATCGCCACCGATGTCCCGTTTACACCTACCTTGAACCATTTCAAGCCCGTGATGGTGCTTGTCTTCGCATCGCTCACTTTGGCCAAGTAGATTAGGTTCGGGCCGGGGTGTGCGCCTGAGTCCCATAGCACTGAGACTGTAGCACCCGCAGGAACGGTTGTCACACCCGAGGCCGGGGTATTTCCGTTGACGTTACAAATAATGTTGTTGGAGGTGACATCGGTCACAGGTGAGTTGTTGGGAGGAAGTCTGTAATCGGTGTATCAGAGCGTCATTGGAATATTATAATTTCGATAGCACTAACCTGACGCTGTCAGTGACGAAGCTACCCCCATTGACGCTAATCGCCGTAAGACGAACATGAGCGAGAGCAGCTCCGGCACAAGCAAGAGCGCAAAGAACAGCAGAGGACCGCATCGTAGGTATGAGTGGATGAATTAGAGTGCTTTCAGAATTTATATACTAACCTCACGGAGATAAAACGGATATTCATAATCCGACAACACTCCTTTGTATCATGTGTTCCAGTTGTTAATATAGTCATAGATGAAGCCATGACTCAAGTTATAGCTGGCAAGGCGGTATTTTCGCGGCCCAGCATCGTACGTCGCGGAATAAACTTGACGTGACATAAGCCGGACAATTGAGTTAACCTTCACCAAGCGAACCGGCCTCGATGTGAAGATCGACTCCGAGCATCCTCCGAAGTACTGGCTTCTATGTGAGCTATAGATCACGGAAAGGATAGATTTTTCGAGCGCAGAATCGGTCAAGTCTTACACGTGCCTGGGTATTGAACCCGAGAACTACTGGCGTTTTCAAAACATCCATTCATAATCAAATCTAGCTCACCAGGTCTATGCATACAACCGACTATATACCGTACATCGCTTTCGCATTTTCTCTCGCAACGCGCATAACCTCTTCTGCCGTCCATGACAACTTTTTGCTGTTCTCTTTCGCCTCTTCTGAAGGTCTAGATTCCACATCCTGGATCACCTGTTCTGCAAGGCCCTGATTCGCGACTGTAGCGACGAACTCGGCCGTCCATGGGATCATTCCAGTATGACAGAGTGGCATTCTACCGCCCCAGCGGGTGCAAATTATTAGAAAATGTATACGAGAAGAATCGACAAGGGCTTACCGAGCATTTGACTTGAGCCCAAACGCCTTTTGTTGCACACTTGTCAAGTTGGACGGTACCATGTAGGGCGCGTCGGTTTCAAGGACGATTCGAAGTGCTTTAGGATCTGATGGATTGGATTTGACAAGGTTTCGCACTACTTGAGCTGTGTTCAAGTTCGTTGCATACGTTATCACACCTATATAGAGAAGAGGGTGGTCGATAGAGCGGCTGGAGATATTTAGTAAACTACACGAACCCGTTATTCCGATGTATAGATTTGGAAAGTGAGCAAGGAGGCGCTCGGCGAGATCTACCGCATCAGTAAAGCAGTGTATGTGTATCTTTGAGAGTGAATTTGTCAGCGACATAAGGGGGGAGAATCGAGTACGGACGTACCTTCCATTCTTTGGGTACATGCGTCGTCAAGATCTCGTATATATCGTCATTTGCCTCTCGTGTGTGGATGGTTAATGGTTTACCGAGTTCCACTGCACATCTGGAGCTCAACTGTCAGCCACACTCCAAGGGAAAAGTGCTAGGGGGTATGCTGACTTGAGCTGTCGAATAAGAACTTCTCTTTGGATTTCTCTAGGGGAGTTGTCGTAGTGATAGTCCAGGCCAATTTCGCCCCATCCTACGTTTCGTGGATGTTTCATGGCTCCTTTACTGGAAATTGAAGTATATTAGGCATTAGAAGAGAGTTCTACGGCCCTGGAAATCGACACTCACATTTCTGCCTCCACTTCATCGTTATAGTTCCTAGC